AGATGGTAGGGTCAGAATTTGGCATAAACAACATGACAGCATGGGTCCATCCTGCTGCTGGTTGTGTAATGGTGTGTAGGATATTTTCTTGGCACACTTTGGTCCCCTTAGTACCAGTTGAGCGTTGTTTAAAAACCACAGTCTATTGTTGCTGATGGCCATGTCGATCCCTTTATGGCCACTGATTTCTTGAACATGATATTTAGTTCACTATAGCACCTTTGGGATGTGGTGCAACAGCAGATTTACATCATGGATGTGTGGTGGTGATGGCGCAGTGGATAAGACTTGACTTTGGTGTGAGAGACCCAGGTTCGAATCCACTGTGAGACACCAATGTGTCCCTGAGCAAGACACTTAAAGGGATACTTCACTTTTTTGGGAAATAGGCTCATTTTACCACTCCCCTAGAGTTAAACAGTTGGGTTTTACCGTTTTCGAATCCATTCAGAACGATTTTTTGAAATTTAGAAGAATATCAGTAACCACACAGTTTCTGGTCCCATTGACTTAGTATATTTTTTTCCTACTATGGAAGTCAAGGAGACCAGAAAACTGGTTACTGATATTCATCTAAATATCAGAAAAATCAGCTGAATATATTCGAAAACAGTAAAACTCAACTATTTAACTCTGGGGAGTGGTAAAATGAGCCTATTTCCCAAAAAAGTGGAGTATCCCTTTAACCCCTAGTTCTCTAGAGGCGTGCAACCTCTGACATATATACCAATTGTAAGTCGCTTTGGATAAAAGCGTCAGCTAAATGAATAAATATAAATGTAATCTGCAGCAACGGTGTGATGCCATCATGTCAATATGGACCAAAATCTCTCAAGAAATGTTTCCAGCACGTTATTGAATAGTTAAAGGACTAAAAGCTGCATAAAATAAATGAAAGCTATATAGAACAAAACACTTGTAAAAAACTTAAAGGTGCTATATGTAACTTTTCTTCTAAAATGAATCCTTTTTTTAGCCTGTGTGTGAAGGGGTTGTAATCACACATTACAATGATCCACTTGTCGGGTTTTGCTATTACCTCTGAATGCCAGTATTCCTATTTCTATGTGATGTCTCCGGGTCGGATAAAGCATAAAAAAACAGAATACGTCAATATTTTTTTAAATGCTATTAATTAGGGGTGTAACGATACATGTATTCGTATTGAACCGTTAATTCGGTACAAGACTTTCGGTTCAGTTTTTCGGTACGCATTTATGAACCGAACGGTTCGTTGGACCAATTTTCCTGCCGACCAAAATTTCGTTATTTCAAATGTAGGTGCATCACGTGTGGCAAGTGCGCTCATAATTTAAGAGACGCTGACGTGACCACAACGTTGCCCTAGATCGAAACTGAGCAAAACGAAACTGAGCTACACGTTATTGTGTGGTTGACCAACCGTTTATCAGTTTGGACCAATGCAGCGCGAGGCCGCGAGCCGCGATCTTAGTCAAGCAGCATTGTTACTACAGCAAAATCAGAAAGAAAAAATTTTAATTCGCCACTGAAGTAATAACATCGCTGATAAGATCTAGTGAGTAACATTCACATTTCTCTGTTATTAACGAATAAAACAGCGCTGATGTGGAAACACACTGCAACGGAAACGTACCGAATTGTACCAAACCTAACCGTGACACAAGTGTATCGTATCGAATCAAACACCCCTGTCGTATCGAACCGTTACACCCCTACTATTAATCTATTTATGTCTACCATATTTCTCTGAGTTCTCTGCAATGCGTTCTGGAATAGCTTGTTTTCACGTGACGTCACGCCACTGCGTTGCCATGGAGCGAAATGCAGATGAGGGCAGGAAGTGATTTTCTATATTTAGGAAGCACTATAACACACTCAAAATGCATATGTTTTGCGTCGTTTATGGTTGCTCAAATCGATCAAACCACGCAGAGTTTTTATCGTGTGCCAAAAGTTGTTGTTCATAAGGGTGGAAAATACAAGAAATTGACAGAAAAACACCAGGAAAAATGCCTTGCAAACCTACGTCTGCTGTCGGGAGAAGCCGAATGGGAAAATGCCTGTGTGTGTGTGTGCAGTGATCACTTAATACATTATTTATGTGGCTTATAATTACATTATTCAGGTGTTTAAATACACTTATGTGGCTGTTTGTGTAACATACCAGTTTCCGAACTTTGTAAAGTCAAAGTATGTCTGTAAGACGAGTTAGTTGCTGATATCTGCAGCCTCGATGGCAGGCAAATCTCTCAATTCAGTTGAAAATCGGTCCTCTTCATAACGTAAGGATCACGTCCAACATATGTTTCGATTTTCTGTTTATATATTTCTCTTGTAATAGCATCTAATACAGTACGGATTTTCCTCCATCTCGTCCATTGCGCTCGTCACTCCTTGCCCTCCATCTGCATTCCGCGCGTCAACACAATCACGTGACTGCAAACCACCTATTGGACTCGACGTAAATGACACTATTGATGCTGCCTTAGATAATTTGTCTAAAATTAGGTCTCTTATTAAGTAACCTACCTTTTGGAAAAGCCTTCGCTTTGGGAACAGCTATAGTGACAATGACTAGGTTTTGGAACAGAGCAGCAGTTTAACACAGTCAGGCCACTCCCATGCTTTCCATGAAGCTTATTCAACAGATTGTTATGAAAACGTGTTGACATTTGATGAATGCATATCCTACAATACTTCCTCCCTGCTTCTTTCATCCTGCTATTGTCTTTCTCTCTCTCTCTCTCTCTCTGACACACTTTCTTTCATTCTGTTACCCTTGCACACACACATCCATCAACACCTTTGAGCACAACTGTATTTTCACATTCTGTGAGTAATTGGCCATATGGACGGACACTGGCAACTCGAGTGTTTGAGTGTTTCTCTCTGTGTCTTATTTATAGTAGACCTCGATATAGAGCTCCTGCTTAAGTGTATACGGCTTCACTCAGCTGGGAGAAGAGTATACACTTCCTAAATGTGTGTAATTGTGGCAAAAATCCTGCAGATATCCTGGAGGCCATTGAAGATCGTCAAAGTCATAAAATAGGAAGTCAAAAACTGTTTTTAAATTTTTTTACCTCTGCTCATCATCTGTGCTTCCTAAATCATACTGTAGTTATTCACTTTTGAGAGGAAGAGAGAGAAGAAACATCTATTTTCATTCATCTTTCTGTGCTGTGCGATAATAACCTCAATCTGAAATGATCTACTGGGTCATTGGACTATTGCAATTTCCATCATCATTTTTATTAGCCGCATCCATTTCCACCCCTTCTGCGTGAGATCTCTCATTTTGCAGTTGACTATTATTAGCAGGTCCTTTCTGGCCCTTTAACGGTTCTGCTCATTAATTTTAAGGAGATTAAGTGACATCACGAAATGCCTCACTTTCTCGCCTCACATTTGCTGTATTTTTTATTAGAATTTATTTATGTACTCGTTTAAAAAATGACCAATTGAGAAAGGATGTGTGTAATATATGCTGTAGCTGTTTTTTTTTATCCCCCCTTCAAATTCAGTTTCTCTGCAACAGTATTATTTTAATGTCACAAATATCTTCTGGGTGATTTACAGAATCTAGTATGACAAAATTTATAGTATTGCTCCACTGATCATGCTTGTCTTTTTTTCTTTGTGACAATTTGTGTCATCTCTTGGCCAACGAGGATGATCTCGTGCACAAGCCTGTCAGTAGATCTTACATGCGCTAGAAGAGCGAGTTTTAAAACACCAGTTATCTCTTAGCTCAAAGTCTGCTGACGAACAAACTGCTCCCAGAATAGAGATTCTTACACTTGGTATGGTGTCTGTCTGATATGAGTGAAAAGAATGTTGCAGTGCATGCAATTGATAATCCTCAAACTTTCTGGATTTGTTCTTAAAACAATATGAGTTATGTATTTTTCTTTAGTATATATATATATATATATATATATATATATATATATATATATAGGGTAGAGGTTAAAATGGTTTAGTGACGTCAGTGTGGAACGTAGCCTATTTCAGAGACAGAAACATTTTTTTTTTTTTTTTGCAATAACGTGAACTGAAGAATAGTTCACATAACCTATATTTAGTAGCCTAAGTAATATAATTTGGATTTCAGGTTAACTTGTGTACTTTCTGAGAAGGAACTAAGCTACATTAAAAAGTCCTCATCACAAGGCGTTTTGGATATGTGAACGCTTAAAACTTTTGATGACTGGCTTTCATGAATTAAAAAAGGGGAACGTGTTTTTTCCCTCCTGGTTTTAAACGCTCTTTGAACCGATCAAAACGTACATTAATTTTGTATATAAAGAAACATTAAATAACCTATTCGGAAAACATTTGCATGTCTATAGAGATGTCTCGCTTACATATGCTCTGAGTAGCGGTTGGAGAGTCAGCACGCGCTCAGACACATTCGCGCTGTTGTGAGGGGTGGCCAAGCGCGCGTGCCAACCTTAAACAAACCACATACGCGCCTCACCTCACGCACAGTGAAGATGGAGCTTGTTGAACGCTGTCGTCGACGCGATTAAAGATTCAGAAAAGACCCGAAAAACATTTACAATTAGTAAGTGGGATGGAAGAGTGAGGAAGGAGGGCAAAACAGAACCGGAGATATTCAAAAACGATGGCTTTTTAGTTTTACCATGGTGTACTAAACATGGGTGCTGATTACTACTGTTCCTCAGAAATGAGTTTGCTCTCCTCCTGTTAAAAAGAACATCTTCATGGGATGTACGACTGGATTTTCGGATTATAAACGTTTTTACTCCACATTTTACTTTCAGGTAATGTTACTTTTGGTGTTTTGGCGTGTTTAGAGATATCTGTCGGAGTAAGCTACGTGTTGCGCGTGCTTGGAGGATGTAACGGTCGTTTATTTAGTCGTCGTTTGTCTTAACAGGAAAACTTGCAGTTTGGATGATTATTCGCAGTTCACATCACAGTGTGGAGGTAATCGCACGTTTGCTCCTGTTGACACAGAGGGGCTAAGATTTCTCTGTTTTTGCTCCACACAGAATGGCTCGCTTCGGAGACGATGTTCCCGGTCTGCTGGGAGCCGGGGATGGGGGCTCGGAGCGCAGTCGGAACCGGGATGCTCCTGCGGTATCCACAGGTGGAGTTTCACCAGCCTTCAAACAGACCAAAGCGCAGCGAGCTCGAACTATGGCTCTGTACAACCCCATCCCAGTTCGACAGAACTGCTTCACCGTCAACAGATCGCTCTTTATCTTTGGAGAGGACAACATCGTTAGGAAGTATGCTAAGAAGATCACAGAATGGCCATATCCTTTTGTCTAAACGGTAAAACACGCCCTGCCCCCTAAAACACGAACTCGGTGTTAACAGCACACGCAAATGTGTTGTCAACACGTTTTACAAAAGCACATGCAACTACTGTGTTTATTTCTCCTGATCTGGAACTTAAAATTAATCAAGCACTTGTATATGTTACAGTCCCCTCAAAATCTCTCCCTTAATTTTAGTTTACTACTTAATTGCAAATTATTTCTGTAAACAAACTTTGTTACAGGGTAAAAGGACTTTAAGCCTCACAAAAATGTCAAAATGACTATTTATTCAAATATTTCAAACATATGTTTATCATACAACAGGTGTATTCAAGTCTTTTGGGAATGATTTGCATGCATTTATAAACGCACAATAAAACGCCACAAGTTATTCAAAAATACATTAAAAATGCAAGTCATACAGACAATGACTGTATGAATACAATTTGATGTTTTTGTAGGTCTTAAAATATAAATGGTTTAACTATCTGAAGTTTGCACAGTATCAATAAAATAAAAACAGAAATTGAGCATTTAAACAAAAAGTTTTGTTCAATCATAACAATTATTTTGCACACTCTTGTGCGTTCAAGGTTTTATATAATGGTTTTACCACTAGACTTAGTTTTTTGAGTCATTAAATGGAAATTTGTTGACAATTATATAATTTTTTTTTTATTTCTAAGATTTTTATCTGAGAATATATATATATATATATAAATAATATCTTGACATCTTTATTTCTCACTGACCCATAACTTAGTGATTTGCATGCAAGATCTCATTGGCTTGGTAATGACACAAAGTGAAAATTGATGTATTCTGTTTTTAAATGCATTGTAAATTACAAAATACACTTCCTGATATTTTATACTACATTTATTCATTTTGGCTGAATAAATGTTATAAATGCGAAATTTATAACATTTATTCAGCTAAAATTAATAAATGTTATACTGTGTAATTCATTGAACTGACTTGCGTTCAGGACCATGGACAGGGTCATATATTTTTCAGAGTCAGAAATATATCAGGAGCAGGGCTTTATAACTCAGGGTTATAAATGGTGAAGGTTAACAAGGAAGTTGATTAAGGGTTTAGTATAGTGTGAAAGGACATATATGAAAGTTGCATATGTTTGTTTTAGCATTTCATATTACAATCTGTGAGTAAGTGTCTTTAATTGATGATGAGGTTTATGTTTTGTTGTGAGCTCTCTGTGTAATTTATGCTCTGCCAAGCTGGTTCCTGATGATGATGAAACATATACAATTGTTGATGAGTTGGTCACTCAGAACTGGAGAGGGAGGAGAGGTAAACCCAGCAACCACATAAACCCCACTGGAGGTTTTTGAATGCATGTCATTGATTACAGACTTCAAAGTGCCATGGTGTGATTAAAAAAAGCCTTTCCTGTGATGCAAATTAGATGAGTCAGTGACAGGACATGATAAGGCCTTCGACCATATTTGTCACAGGTGTGCACTACTGGAACAATTGTTGGGTTTTCATTTGCCCTTTTTTAATGTCACAGGAGACTGCCCAGACATGACTGTGTATTAGCATTTACTTAAATTAGGCAGAGCTCAGTTACTAACTGTAAAGAATTTGTAAAAGCTTTGCTGTAATCTAGTTGTCACAGCGTTTGGTGGTTTAAAGCATTACAGTCATTTTAAGGTTAAGTAAGAGTCTCGTTTGAAAGTCATCGCCAGGTGGAACATTTATTCAGTTTGAATAAAATAAAATCAGATTAACTTTAAAAATATGTGAAATACAGATGTAAGTCACCGCTGCCAATATTGGATTTTATAAAACTTGGTTGTCTATGCAATAGAAACACATTTTTTTTTACAGAAGTTCTGTAATAGGAGCTCTGGAGCTGTCAAAAGTGTGCCTGATGATGCAAAATTACATGTTGTGCGTCATTCAGTGATTTTTTGCTGACAAATATTCACGGAAATCTGGATGCAGACATTGTAGCAATACAAAGCTGATTAAAAATAGCCGAACTTACTCTTTAAACAGATTGCTGTGTATGATTGTTTAGTTATGTTTTAAAACATATTTCAGTGATTTTGATGTTACTTTTGAAAACAGTTAAGCGGCTATTATAAGCTACTCAGACATCTAAAAACAAACGTCTAAATGCAAAAGGAGTATGTATGCTAAAAAGGGAAACTTCTCGCACTTTGCAGGTGAGGGATGTAAAATGTGTGAACCTATCCGAGCCTTACACAGAGGTGTCATTTCCAAAGAAGAGAGGCTTTTGATAATGTGTCTATGTGTTTCCCTGCTCTTGTTTGACTCAAATCCTTTACTTGGGTTGAATGTCATTCCTGTTGTTTTGTATGCCATGGAGAGATAAAATTAGAGCGGGTGCTTGCTGTAATCGTGACGACAAGGTTTGGTTGTTGCCTTTGTAAGACAGTAACATAATGTTACAAGCGGTTCTGCAGCCTAATGATGAATGGAGAGCGATTGAGGGTGGTGATATCATGGAAATCTGCTTATGTGCGTTGATTGATATGCCTTTGTGTGTTTCTGCTTTCATTTGCAACAACGTGACTCGGTATGTGTGTTTGTGCCTACATGTTAAATTCAATTATAGCATCTATCTGGTCTTGGCTCTCTTGTGTATCTAATGGGCCACTTGCGACATAATGCAAGTGTCAGTGACCACTTTAGGCAGATTTTAAGCTTATGGTCACATATCTCTCACTCTTAAACCGAGAGCCTCAGGGAGCTGAAGAGATGGAAGCCCTACTAATGGTGCTGTAATGACTTGGCCTTGCCCCAAAATAAATGCAACTAGAGTCTGTTCCTTAGAGAAAGGAGAAAACGACATCCCTCTGGGAGTGATTCTTAAGTGTATTACAAGGAAAGATCAACAGTTTAATTAAATGTATGTTGTAAACTCATTATGGATCAGATTTGATGTCATTATTAACCAATGGTAATGAGTTTCATTAACCAATGGTAATGAGTTTCGTCTTAAGAGCTGTTCACACCCACCTGAAGAATTGCTTGTATAGCTCTGTTTCAAAACCTAGCAAGCTGCCTACAGAGGGAACATTTTAAGGCATTATAACTGTGCTACTGAGATAAAGACTGTTCTAAAAGGTAGGCATCTTAATTATGCAGCCTCCTAAGATACCTCAATTGACCAAGGTAACCATTGCTTTTATCCTTCAAGTAGAAGGCAATCCCATAATGAATTGTGAGAGAAAATCTCCATTCCAAGATTCCAAGGTGACAGAAATATAAATAAATTATAAATAAATTAAATTTTAAAGGAGCTGTATGCAAGATTGTGGCCAAAACTGGTACTGCAATCAAATTAGGGTGTATCCCCACCTTCCCCCATGACTCGAGGTTGCCAAATATGCTGCAGGTTCCAGCAGGAATGTATAGGCTGCTACAAGAAGCTTCCAATTGCAAGTGACGAGTCCTAAACAGTGAGTTTTTTTTTCCTGTTAATTATTTATTTCGGAATTTGTAACAAAGTATTTCAGATTCATATCGAGTTTTTTGGGGTTTCGCAACGTTAGAATTTTTTTTTATCCGATTCCGACACGTTTGTATCTGCAGCTGTGGTAACTAGAGAAGAGCTGGCAACTCGAATGCCGCAACACTACTGACTCCGTGATTGGTAGATCAGTGGAGGGTGACGCATCAGAGCAAAACGCAACTTGACAACATCAACATCAGTCAAGGACTGCGACTTCACTTTTTAAATGACAATATCCTGGCCGGACTACTGTTGTCATTGATATAAGTATTTGAAATGAACATGATTTCTTAATGTCTAGTGACACATCAGGGAAAATGTATGATTAATTGAAATAAATTTCTTGCATACAGCTCCTTTAAAGTATTTCATTATAATTAAAAATAACATTTTACCCTATTTTATATTATTATATACTTATACCCTTACACACAGAGTATGGCACAATTAGCTTAGCAACATGATCAAAATTACCGTAATTGTGATAAAATTATTTTACTTTTGTGTGTGCTTATGCTTATTAGTCTTCACACATCTATTGTAAGTCGAGTGTCTGTCTTAGGGGCCTTTAAAAGCACTATTTGTGTGGCTACTAAGAAGTCATTCCAAATCAGTTATTTATGATGTTTCATGATTTTAAGGATGCTGACTTTATGTAGCTTTATGTAGGCAGCTCACTAGGTTTTGGAACAGAGCTCTGGTCTGGTCTCATTGTCTAACCTACATATGCTTCTTAGATACATCCTAAATGATAATGGTTATTGTTGCATCAGATTGCACTTTATGACAGCTGTGGCAGGAAAAGTATTAACCCCTGCCATGTCTCATAATTATAATACAACCAAACAAAGCTGTTGAATTAGACTTTTCTAGGTGCATTTCGCTGTCAAACAAAGATATTATGACCTCCTCAAGGGCAAACCATCTCTCATGTTTCGGTCAAGCTCTTTTTGAGTGTTTTTCTAGATGCTGATGACATCAGTCAATATGTCATCAGGATAATACTGTTGTTCATTGTTATGGTTTCCTCAAGGTTACATCGAAGATCTTTTTTTAGTTTGCCCCAGTGAAAAAAACATTAGATTTTACAAACCAAAAGTTGAATCCCCATGAGTCGAAAAGACCAAAATAATCATCTTGCTCCAATTTAGGTGCATGTGTCTCCCACACACTGTTCATTCATATTGGAGGAACAGTCAACATTTGCGTGTGGTGATATCGGATGCTTCCTAATTTGGCTCATTTGATTCTTTTAAATAACAAACTTTCTTTTTTTTAGACTTACTAATTTGATACCTAATGTGATTTGATCAGAGCAGGAAGTTCTAATTGTGGACTCCTGCAATATATCTCAAATCAGTGGCTTTTGAAAAGGATTTTTGAAGCTTAAGCTTGTTAACATGGATTTGTGTTATATCATTCATGCATTTATAATGGATTTTAATTAATTATTTTGTTTCCTGTTGTGGATACATTATTTGCTATTATCATTGTCCTAACCAGGCATCACACGGCAAGTGGTTAGTCTGTCCAGCAAAAATACTGCAGAAAGTTTACATGATTCGCAACCAATTGAAAGATAATTGATGTTAATGAGGAGAGGATTTTTGGACCAGTGAGATAAAAGTGGGTGAGGCTGCACAGCAGGAATAAAAACCAAGCAATCAACAACATTTTTGCAAAATCGAGTATGATGGGGGAAAATGTAGTTTAAATTTTTAATAAATATATATATATATTATATTATTATTTTGAATTATATTTATCTTTTGTAAATGAAATTTTAACGAATAGTGAATTTGTAAAAAAAAAAAACAACACACCTCTCCTCATATGTACACACAAACATGCACACACACAGAGGCCTGTGGAATAACCGAAAGGTCACACCGGTTTGCAAAACAGCATGTTCACGAGCCCTGTGTAGTGCAGCATCGACAACCTGTGTGTGAGAGCGGTAATTTAGGAAAGCTTTGTTTGAAGTGCTGCTCGAGGTGTGATTTGAGCTCATGTTGATGAAGTGCTGGGAGGAGGGACAGAGATGTGTCTGGAGAGAAATGCATTCATTTGGTGGATTGGAAAAATTACAGATGGAGTCATTAGGGAAGTTTGTTAGGGTGTCTGTAGGCAGTGAATGTTGAGGAGGGGTGGAAGCATGTGTTGTTTCCTCTGTTAGTGATGCACATTAGAAGGAGATCATCAGGTGATGTCATTATTTGTTTTCACGTTTCCTGAAGTGGGCCGGTTTGGCCATGGGGTCAGTGGACAGGTTGGTTGTGGCGGATCGATGGCTTCTATGGGAAGGACAGGGCTTAATGAAGCGAGTGGGCCGCTGTGCCGCTCGGCCGGTGGGGAAGCCACAGCTGTTCATTCCTCTGATCCCCACTGTGTGGCTGAGGGAGGAAATACCCCACCGTGCCCATGCTTACTCAATAATTGATCCTGTCAATCGGCCCTATGCCTCCCTCCAGTGAACAGAAGAGGGAGAAACAGAAGATGTGATAAAGGGTGTTAAGGACCTCTTCATTTGTCTTAATTAGGTTTGGAAAACCACCTGAGGAATGAGACTTTTAAAGTCAATATCAAATGAACCCCCTTTGCTTTCTTAACTCATGTTCCTGATCTTATCATGCCTGGTCTTATTAGCCTAAAGCAGGGGTCAGCAACAGGCGGCCCACGGGCCAAAACTGTCCCACCAGCAATCATATCTGGCCTGCAGCCAGATTATTTTGCCAGCGGCTGATTCTGAAATAGATGACAGCAACAGTTACTCACAATCACTTCATCTTTGGTGATTTTGCCTTTAAAACAAAAGAATGAGAACGTTTTTTTAATTTGAAAAGTTCTGAAAGTCATTCAAAAGAGTCTGTGGTTCGCTAGACACACCTCTAAAATATCACGTCATGAAATATCTAATCTTATATTCTTTCCAAACAACGACAACTTCGTTGCAGATTAGACACACCAGCTTTGCAGCTTTTACAAAACTAGGTAGGATGAACGGTTGTCTTTTTAAATTTTTCTTTATTATGCCCTATTTTCGCTGTCAACTTTCTAGACTCTTTGATAGTGCCATTTTCTCTCACCTGCTAGCTTAAATGTTAACATCACTCAATGAAATAGCTTACCTCCAGCACGCAAAAAAAAAAAAAAATTAGACAGGAGCTTGTCTATGAAACAGACTACTTTCTGCTTATGTAATCCGTATGAAATGTGCATCTCTCTGAAGGCACGTTCACTACTGCGGTCACAATTGCAGACGACACTGACACAGAAAACAATAGTTTATTAATAAACAATTAATTTAAAATGTCTCCTTGCTATATTTTAAACATTCATAATCATTACTTTTGACGGTTCTTTGTGATGGCTTTTAGGTGCGTTATTGGCTCTGACTATGTTCTGGCCTGCCATCTAATGGCGAATTTTATCTTTGAAAGAAGTGTTAAAGTGATGCCTGTGGTGTTATGAATGGTATAATTTTATGTATCTCACGCTCTCTTTCCATGCACCTATTACTGTCTCTGTATTTCTCCTAATCACTTTCTCTCATGCTCCAAGCTTCTATTGGATTGAAATGGATTGCTTCTATTGGATTGCTCATTGACAAACTATTACATAGGCCACATCTTACACAGCTATTTTTAAATCTCTTCCAGTAGAAATGAAATAGAGAGTATGTAAGAGAGAGAGAAAGTTTGCTCATGAAGTCACTAAAGTTAGATGTTTGTCAACAGCGATACCTGCGTGATCCTGTAGCTGGACTATTCAGTGCTATTCAACTTATTAAGAGCTGATCTGAAGAAATATTGAGTATCATGTGTCATGGTGGATACAGTGAAAGGATGTTTGTGTAGTCAGTATTGATTGTCCGAATGCATTCAGCAACAAGTAGAGAACACTGCTGGCTCAGAGACCATATTAACTCTGAGTACTGACTTATGGCAGACGGGAGAGAGCCTGTTGCCACGGAGACCGCTCTCTCTCTCTGTCTCTCTACTGCTCTTTTAGATTGTAATGGCTGCAGTCTTTCTTTCTCTCTTTCTGTGACTCTCTGGCATTGTTTCACTTTTCATAAAAAACTAAATTAACTTCTTTGTGTTTAAAATTGACTCCAAATTAAGTCTTGAGAAATTAAATGCGTTTCCTAACCAGGTGAGATGCAAAGTTACGAGTAACAAGCCATTTTTATGACTTACAGTAGTTGAAAAGAAATACTGTATGAAACTGCAACATTATAGCGTATCAAAGCATAGCATACTGTAGCATAAGATGGCAGACTCATTTTAGGTATAGAGCTGTACTGGCGGGTAGGCCTACAGCTTTAAAAAAATATTAAACCATGTAGCCTTCCATGTCAAAGTCATCATCTGCACCATCCTGTCTTCGTCTTCTCTACACTTCCCAGAGTCCCTCGTGTCTTCACACCTGAATTCACTCCCTCATTACATACCTGTTCACCGTCTTCATCATCCGTGATGATATGTTTTATAGAACACCAATACCAGAACATTTTTTTTTACTGTTCAAAGCTAACATATTGACACTATCATCATGCTACTGCAACTCAGTAAAGTCTGAGCTTAATTTAATTAACACAAACTGAGGGATAGAAAGGCACATTAGAGAGAGAAACTTCCCCAGAGGTCTGTCCTCCAGCTGCCTGTTATATTTGTACTGAACTCTCTGTCTTCTTTGTCTTAAGCAGCTCTTTTATTTACTGTTTTTTTTAATCCCCACACACACTAGCAGAAATTGGCAGAGGCCACGTTTCAAAATCCAACATTTTTCTGTACACATGCAAATCAGTGGCTGGCTGTGAACTCAGCCAACCATCAGGGGTCCTGAGAACATCTTGTAAACTTGAAGTTAAATAGCTGCTCTTTTTTATTTCACTTACAAGACAACTATCTTCATGCTCTCTTTGGGCATTTGAGTTTGTGTGTTTGAGAAAGCATCCTTTAGTGCCAGCCTGCAATGTACTGCTGCAGTATACTGGCACATTCATTCTTTTTAGTCATTTATTTTCAAATGAGCAAGTAAATCAGGTTTACAAAGGGTAGCGAATTGGTCTGAAAAAATATATTAATTAAATGTAAAGTAATTGGAATGCATTGTTTCAAACTTTGTTTGTTTTTTAAAGTGTTAAAAGGTTGTTGTTTTTGTACATTTGTAAATAGATATTTAAGATCATTTTTTGAAAATCACCCATTTCAAAATATAAGGTGTCATATTTTCAAGTTGAATTCTGGTCTTCTTCATAATGCATTATGATTGTTTATTTTTCTTGCATCCATTTACACTAAAACCATATATATATATATATATATATATATATATATATATATATATATATATATATATATATATATATATAGGTATATATATATATATATATATACTTTTTCCATCTTGCAAGTATTTTCTTCAAGAAATATGTATCTTGTACCACTTATATTGTTAGTCAAGGTACATCATTTTTTTTAATGCAATAATTTTCTACCATCACTCTGACCCTTTAATTTCATTGGTTGTTTTGCTAATGAACCAGTAAGACTTGAGGTAATTGAATACTAGGGTTTTAATAGTATTATTCATTGTCATGGTTTGTATGATTAATGGCAAGGGAAAAGTTTTTAAATACTTGTACAGATGGTACTCAACCAGAATACGTTTTTACCACCACGGGTACCACCGCTGTTACAGCGGGAACTACTAGGTGGTGCTATAAACTTAGTACTGTTTAACTTTACACAGTGAGCACAGCAACAGCAGGATGTTGTGTTAGTAAGTACACTAAAGACCAAACATCATCAATAGTTGCTAGATGTCTTGAGCATGTACTATTCCTTAACCTTCCTCCTCAACTCCGTTTGAATACATGATCCTGGCCACCATTATCGCCAACTGCATCGTCCTGGCCTTGGAACAGCACCTGCCTGAAGAGGACAAGACACCCATGTCAAAGAGACTTGTGAGGACACACCTACCCACTAACATATACTGCACTCCTCGTCTTCCATTTTTTGCTGATTTTCTGTTTTCATTTGAAATAATTGAATTTAGGTGAATCATTTTGACCTAGTTATCTACTCATAGATGTATTTCTAGTAATTTGTGTCACGAGAACGATGTTATACACTAAGAGACCACAGTTATACTCTAAATGTAGCCCTTCTCTCTTGTGATTTCATATTCTTTCCTTCGTCATATTCTTTGTTCTTGACAACTTTTTTCAGACTGTAGTTTCCCCCATTGAATTGCTCACCACAAGCTAATTATTCCCATTCAAAGAGTATTTCCCTACTGTTTTACTTTAGTGACATATTTCAAAGAAGTCCTTGTTTAAATAGAGGAAAGTAGTGACACTCGCCTCGCCAGGTTCTTAATAGTTGCTGTTTTTGGAGATTAGTTGAATAGAACATTCTGGCTATGTATCAAAATCTAATGTGCACCCAACCTAGATGTCATTATTTTAGATTGAGTTTGAGTTCTAGGTTTTTTTATGTAGGTAGTTTCTGTTGTCTCACACCCAATCCATTTTTTTTTCTCAGGAAAAAACAGAGCCCTACTTCATAGGAATGTTTTGCTTAGAAGCTGGAATAAAAGTCATTGCTTTGGGATTTGCATTCCACAAGGGCTCGTACCTGCGGAACGGCTGGAACGTGATGGACTTCATTGTCGTTCTGAGTGGGTGAGTGACAGGTGCTACTATCTTCTGAATGATGCTGAGTTTGCGGATTTAAACCTTTCCATGTTAGGGTCAAGCATCTTAATTTGTTTCAAATTGCATTGCATGGTTTTCATTCCAGATTTACTTGTAAAGTAGATCAAGTTTTCTTCTCGTAAAATGAGTTTGAACCTTTTGATAGTTTTCCTGGATTTTGCACTGTCCTTGTGGGCAACTTTCTGCATTGGCGAGATGTTGCACAACACAAGGTTGTGGATTTGCTGAAATTCATTTGACTTTCCCCTAATTTTACCTCAACAAACTCTGCTTGATTGAATCATCTGAGAGTGTTAACTTTCAGACCAGGCTGAGTAGAGAAATGAACAGCACCTTGAAAACACTCAATCGCCCCGAGAACAGATATTGTGTTAGTGCTGTTAAAATAGCAGTGTCAAGAAGTGCTCTCCTCAAGGGAAAGGCTGCTGAAGTTTTCATTTGCAGAGTAAACCACAATTTAGAAGCTTGGATGAAGGGCAGAGGCCATTTTGCTTTGTACCGTAATATTTATCATGTGTTTTTCTTGGAAGGGCGCTATCTAAAAGAGAAAGAAGGGAGAGGGAGGGAAAGAAAAAGAGAGACACACATACACAGTGCAACGTAATGATACATATGAAATATTTATCACTGTCATAGTGTTAAAGTACAAAGGGAGATGGGCTTCTTAGAGAATTTCACATGATTCCAGTTGTCATTCATTATTGATTAGCCCTGGATCTTTGTCTGGTTTAAGAGAGGAAGAAAATGCGAGAAAGACTTTAACCTTTCAACCCCTTATTTCTCAATAACTCGTTAGTTGTTAACTGACACCTGACATGCACAGCAATAACAACACAGACAAACCCCCTTGAATATATCTGTGATGTGTAAGTCATGACAAATTTGTCATTTTAGAGACAGCACAGGAGCAGTTTTGTCTCATAATCATAAGGTTCAAAAAGGCAGATGGCATGTAATTAATTTGATGGCTGAGAAATCATACTGAATGTACACTAAGTGCGCGTCATAGGAAAGTGCGCGTCATAGGAATTTAACGAGGCCTCGAGGCAGATTTTGTAATCGAGTAACTCGAGGAATCGTTTCAGCCCTAGTGTACATCTGAAATGGATAGAATGGGTAGCTCCTGTAAACACTGGCTATAAATGTCGCCATTACGTTGTGTTTACCTCAGTAGCTGACGTCCGGAAGTAGTTTTATCCGTTTTGTAGAACCCGGAAGAATGTTACGCATAACCCCTTTGAAAATATAATGATTTATTTCTTATTGCCTTCAATGTTGTGGTGTTGTACAACTGGATGTGTGTCTATGTGCGTGTGATCAGACTCTCTGGCATCTTGGTTAGATTTCCATGCTGGCACGGCACCACCCACATAATTATCTGGTAATCTCTAAATGATGATGTCAGAGTTTAAATTGTGTGAATGTTGAATGTCATATTACTACACTTTAACTGTGTGCAAGGTGTTGCCCGTTGGCTGGATGATTACTAGAGTTCAAAACATAATTTTTCTAATGGAACAAGGGTGTAAAGTCAGTAGTATTTTGCTAATGTGTGTAGAATGGATGTAGGCAGTGAGTTTTTCAAGTTTTCTCTGTTCTCTGCACTTGCACTTATCCTGAGTTCCTCCGTCTAGATGAGATGGTGTTTCATCAAAGCCTTGCACCCTCATTAGGAGTTGAGTGAAGATTATAAGATCTGGTGGTATCAAATGAGTCATCATCGCTCATTAGATTTTAATGAAGTCAGTTGCACTGAGAACAAGGAGAAAGAATGGAAAATGAATGATAGAGAGGGAACAGGAAGAGGATGGAAAGCTCATCAAACATGTGACATCATTGTCACTATGTAAAAAAATATTCAAGCTTGACTTTAGCATACATTTTTTACTGGTAATGGCAGTTTTTATATTTAACTGATTAATTTCAAGTAGGGATGTCAATTTTCACAAATTCCCATGATCGATCGTCGTTCAAATTAACGATCAATTAATCGGTTAATCGTTAGCCTTAATACTGCAATATGCGTCGCTGCAGTGGCATATGGCCAACAGCAGGACAGGGTCTCTGCAAATGCTGCTCAAAACGCTATGTTCCTCACCAGATTAATGAGAATGTTTTTTAATCTAAATAAAGGGCTAGTAGGATTGTAAAATGTTTCGATGTGATGTAATTAAATTAATTATTTAACAATCAAATAAAACGACTATATAACATGTCAACACCAACCGCCTCAGATGCACTTGAATGCGCTCAGAATGTATGACTGTTGTGGACGTCCTCTTCCTGGGATATCGCACTGAAAACGAAAACTAACCCAATGAATTCACAACGAATTAATAAAATAGTGTTCTCATGTTATGTAATATGACAGTCTGGGATTCAAATTTTTGACTCCCAAACTTTGTCTGGTGTCTGAGCATGGCTCTCCTTCTGTTTGTGTTGGACTCTTTAAATATGAATCTTAGATGTTCTGCATGTCTCTGTATGAATGAATGGCTCAGACACACGGTTTCATTTACTACACACACACACACACACACACACACTGAAGCATTTGTGACGCTTGCAGTGTTTTCAGCTTCTGCCGCTTCACTGTATGAGGACATAAACACATAAACTTCATCTCCAGAGCCGCTCTGCGAGTCACTTCATTAGCATTTTGCAGTTTCATTTGTCGAGTTTCAAATATTATCGTCATATCATAAACACAGTAACTCAAAGGTCTTTACGGCAACTCGTCAAAATAAAAGCTTGATTTAACTTGAAATTGTGACATAAATATATTACTGTTGTACAGTAGAATTTACATTCAGTGTAATGAAATGAAAAAAAAACTTTATTTTTGTAAATAAATGTTTAATTTCATACGATTAAGAGACTGATTAATTAATTAATTCATGCATGCATTCATTCATTCATTCTTTTTATTTATAAAGCACTTTTAAACACAACCCCAGATTGACCAAAGTCCTGTACATAAATTTATAATAATGTAAACAAAATAAACAAGATAATACAACTTTTTAATGTTTTATGCCTTCATTTGATTGCCAGAAAAATAAGAATACACAACACATAAAAACGCTTTTCTTAGAAAATACATTTGATTTAAGAACAAAATAAATTGTTTTTATGAATTTATTATTCATCAAACTTTATTTGATTTTCATATTGTCTTAGTTGTCAGTTTTTTGTGCTTAATCTTGTTTTCTTGGCCTATTGAGTCTTGTCTCAAGGATTTTCACATAAGCAATAAAAACATTTTAAATCGTAAGTCATTAATTAAGATAAGAAGTTTTTGTAATACAGCTCCATGAACAGATTTATGAACAGGTTTATGAAAAGCTAGCATTACGTGAAAAGGAAAGCATTTCAGTTTGATTGAAGATTGCAAAAGCAAACTTTATTTTCTTTGAAATAACATGCACTGCTAAGTCATGCACCATGAGACCGGGAACATGTCTCAAAGTAAATAGGTTTGCATATTGCCTGGTTCATACTTAAGCTTTGTTGACACGAAATTCATGTGTCATTTCCAGTGTCACTGCATTCACAGTTATCAGTGCACGTGGGTGTGTTTTTGTGCTAGTTATCATTCCTCTGCTCTTGACTGTGTCTTAGCAGCGTTGTGCACAGGAAGTACAGATTAGCGCAGTATGGTGGCATCGTGCAGAAGTCTGATTGTATAGTCACTGTGAGTAGGTGGATAAATGGGTTGCCAGTCCTTCCTTAAAGCCTATTATCGGCTGGCTTTGGACTCCAGTCATTTAAATGCAAATGGTGTATTTGCAATCTTGGGCCTTGCAAGTAAACATCCAGCACCCAGAATCTTGGGGAATGAGAGGACCTCATCCCTAATGACATTAATAAGCACTGGTGTCTACTAGTCACCCGCCCCCTCTTTAAGCTGTGGGCATGTGGCATGGTGTACTCCCCTCGCTCTCTGTCTGTGCCTCTGCGGCTCTGCCAAACACATAGAGCTCTCTCAGAGACCCTGATAAGCATCCTTCAGATCCTCCAACATCACTCTGCACTGCCAATTTGAGGAAAACATGCATGCGCGACAGTAAACAAGATTTTTTTTAGATGGTGAAAATGGTAGAATTCCTCTGGTATATTACTTGAGACCTTAGAAGTGACGGTATAGAATATAATTTGAACATTAAAACATATTTAACATAAAAATTGTAAGTATTTATTAAAGGGATACTTCACCTCTGGAAAGATTAAATGTGCTAGTTACGTTCGTGAGACAATCAGCTGATAACTATTATTATATTATAAGACACTTGATCCTCACCTGGCTATGGCTTTGTAAACTTTATCAATGATGTGGTTTATAATGGACTGTGGTACAGAAACAGTGAAAATGTTACACACTCTTGGCTTACTCTGGCTATTGCCTGCTGTCTCGACGATATGTTTGTCCCGTTTTAGCCACCGTAGTTTCTTTGAAAGGGAGGGGTAAGCAGTGGGCTGAGCCATTAGTGCAACTCGCAACTGAACCGCTACATGTCGCTGAAAAATACGCACTGCACATTTAAACATATTTTTAGGAATTTTTTTCCCTTTTTTTTTTCTTTTTTGCTTATTTTGTTCCAAAGGGATTTTTTTTGAAGTGTTGCAAAATGTATCTCTATAAACATCAAGTAGCTCTATGTTTGTGTTAGACCAGTTAATTTCTACTCATTTGGAATAGTTTACAGTAACATAGAATAACATACAAATTACAATAACATTACAATTCCTACAATTCCCAAAGGTTAAAAACTTTGACTGTTGTAGGCAGTTTCCAATGTTGTGTAAATTTAGCTTGTTGTTGGAAGATTAAAATTATATATATAATTTCTTGCCAAACTAGATGCTGTGATACATTTTTAAATGGGAGTCTCCTGTTCAAAGTTTGGCTGGCTAGCATAGCCCGATTAGCCCCTGCTGGCTGGATACTGTAACTACAGCATCTGGTTCTAAAAAAGTCTCTTCTAAAAAAGTAAAAAGAGTCTTTCTCTATTGACTGCTATACAAATTTCACTGCTAAATGTTATTAACAAATGTAGATTTTTCTTTTGTTAAAAAATAAATAAATAATTCAGAAGCTACATAATATATTTGCATGTTTCCCAGAATATAAAATCAAACAGATCAATGTTAAATATTAAGAATCAAGCATATGTAAACTTTTGAACTGATTAATTTGTGGAAATTCAATGAAACAGATTACTCAGGTCAGTACTAAATAAGAAACAAAATGCATTTCTTAAAATCTCTCTTTTGGCTAGCATGGCATGCTTTTCTGGATTCCATCATCATTTCCACCATACTTGTTCGGTTGACCCCATGTCCAATATGCACATCCATCTGTTACAATTAAATTAGAATGGCAGAATCAGTGTCGGAAAAACACACTAAACTCCAATTAATGCTAGGTTATCATGCATGGTGACAGGTAGCAAATATAAACACACATCCTAATGAGATTGTGTGCCTGGCCTGCTTCACATAAACCCAGCAGTAGCCTATTTATCATAAACAGCTGTTGATTAATTGACTGGTCATTTTAAATCGGTGCTCCCCATCTCCCCACGGTTGCTTGCTCTAAAGAAACCATGGAGTGAGCCTGCAATCATTTCTACTCTTAGTAAATAGGCAGAAGCATTGGCTCCTGACAGGAGTTATAAGTTCGTGTGCCGGGAGCCAGTCGCACCCGCGCTCTGACAGGACAGACAGCTGTCATCCGTGCATGGCCCCCATTGTTCTAGCTGGGCTTTACACCCACTCTATTTTTAAGAAGCGCTAGGCTCCAAGGCACAATGCTGTAGGCTAATGGAGAGAGCTGGGTGACGAGAGAGCAGGAAAAGAGAGGCTGCCTTAGTTTTACCTCAGCTCACCTGTCACAGGCTTGCTAGAGGAAATCCAGCTGATGTATTCATAATGAGGAGCATACAGAAGACAACATCAGCTGGACTATAGATAAGACTAGTTTGCACATGGGTAGAAAAATGGGCTGCATCCCTTAAACGACACATCACTTCATTTGTGCCGAGGAGCATTCAACTACTTAACGAATCATCCATGGGCACATAGATTGATTTTGAATGTGCATTATTGAATATACTGTATATCTATTTATTGATTCTTTTAAGCTGCGGAATATTTTAGAGGTTTTTTTTTTTTTTTTGAAGGGTATTACTGAATATATATATATTTTTACTGATTTCTTAAGTTGTCAAATTGATATATTCCATGTCACTTTTGTCTTTATTCTTCTTTATTTATGTTTATTTTATGTTTTTTGTGGTTATGTTTATTATGGTTCCCATGAGTGTAAAACAAATTCCCCTTTGGGGCAATAAAGGTTTCATTCATTCATTGCCATATTTATATTACACACTAAAAGTATGTATTTCACTGTTGATAGGAAGGCATACTTTAAAAATGTAGTGACAGAAAGTTAAAATATTATTATATTAGAACAAAATCTGTTTATTTAATGCATATTAAATTAAGCAAGCTTTTCAGTTATTGATAAGAATGTTTGAGGAATATCTATTGACCTAATGTAGCCCCGCCCCTTTTCAGCGCTGCGCTCTTTGTGTTCTGTCATCCAGTTTGTATTTTCACAGCATTAAGTTGAGATCTTACTGATTTATGAATGAAAGGCTTGTTTTAAAATCTTACCGCTCTCGTGACATTTGTTACGACATCCGCTTCAAACATTACAATGCTCATGATAATTTTTGTTAACTATCTAATAATAAGTAAATCCATGTCACTTATTTCTCTTGCCTTAGATATATACAGAGCTACCACAAAAACACAAGTTTAAACACAAAATTGCTAAAAATGGCTGTGCGCTTGTATCATGCTATTTTCAAAGTATTAGGATTTGGGACACACTAATCCAATTCTTGCATATACCATGTATGAGAACAAGCATGCTGGTGTGCATGCACATGAGAACATCATTGTTGAGAACACATTGTGTGTGTTAATTATAGCGCCTGTCGGCTAGCTGCTCCTTTACTGAGCCACGTGTCTAGCACAATACAGCTTCTTCTGGATAATGCATTCACATACTCTATCATTACCTCAGTTGCTGATGTAAGAAGGCTTGAGTCTTGTATGTGATGTAGATGCTCAGTGAACAGGAACAGTGTCATGTCATCAGCTCGTAGAGAGCTATCGAGAAACTGTTGTTTCTATAAAATAATTTCTATTTTCTGTTATCAAACATTAGCATTTTAATTTTTTACAATCCACTTATAATATCTAATGAGGCTCTTATAGTGCATTACTGTAAATGTGCATTACAATGTCTAGCTTCATAAAATCCTCTCCACTGCTTGTTTTGTCTCAGTAATTTCGCCGCAACTGGTGTATATATGGTTGATCTTCAAGGACTGCAGGCAAACAGCCATTCAAATGCTCTGGATCAATCAGCTGTCAGCTTGATTGATATATGTGGACAAGGTGGAGGATCTGTTACAAAATACCTCACCTCCTGCGGCTTTCTCTGTTCCATGTGGATTATGGACCATTAAAAAATATCCTCTTGTATCCTCTAGGATTCAATATGCTGATATACTCTACTTCATGATCAGATTAGAATTAATACTGTACAATTAAACTCAAATATTTTTTTTACAATCACACAGTAATTTTCAGTTGTGAATGCAACTTAAATGGTCGTGCTCTAAAGCCCTGAATTGCACTGTGACACAAAACAATCTGCACTGTAATGTCACGCTCACATTTTCCAACAAACAAAAACAAAACACTTGTAAAGCCTTTTTATGAATCAATAGGAAAGTGAAGATGTTGGACACCCTTTTATTTCATTAAAAAAGAACGAATGGTGTTGATTTGATTGTCACATGCTCTTATTTTCAAAGCAAAAGCTAACTTGACTGTTCGACATCTCTTCATGATCAGTTTGCTGAATAATGATCATATGGTCAAGTGTTTGGAGAGCACACTGGTGGAGTGTGTGCTTCAGAGAGATGCAGTTGAAGTTGGTCGGTAATCAGGGGCGGACTTGCCTTCTGGCAGACTGGGCATTTTTTCATTGGACTGATGTGCTTTTTGTGCTGATGTGACTGTCAGTTGAATAGTATAGAGACATCCACACGACTTCATTTGTTTATTTATTTAACAACTTTTTGTACATTTCATATTGGTGGTATTGTTATGGTATTGTTATGCCAGTGCAGCTTATAGCTTGTTTTACAGTAGGATTCATCACTGGATTCATACACTTTATTAGTATTAATAAATGACAATTTTTTGAAGTATTTAACATGTTAACTCTCAATCATACAGTACCTGCATACTTATTACATTTAGTAGATTTAAGGAGTAGGAGTGGGTATACATAGTCAACGGCGCGCAAAGATGGGTGATATTTATGATCATATGTATTGGGCCAGTCTGGGCCAAAATGCCAGGGCCGATTTTTTTTGTTCCAGTCCAGCCCTGGTGATATTTTAAATAGGTTTGTTTCAGCAGTGTTGGCTGGTTTAACAGCTGTTACACTACAACTCCAGGATAAAATAGATTTTTATAAATTTTCATTACATTTTTTTTATATGTAACTGAGTTTGTCATCATAGTGGTTCACATGCTAATTTGGCTGTATTGCTTTCATACCAGTTGTTTATAGTTGTCATTTCATAGAAAGGGAACATAAATTTTGCCAATGTGTCTTGATGAGTTAGACAGTGATAGTGATCATATAATATAAAGTGTAGAAATATCTTTAAACACACAGTAGGGCATGCTGCACTATAGTTTAGTGAGCTGTCAGCTCCACACTCTTGTTTTCTTTCTTGCTTTCTATTTTTCGTATGCTCACTATCCTACACTTTAGCAATAAAACAGAAAAGAGCAGGTCATAACAGTAAGTCTCTTAAAACTAAGAAATACACCATTGTGTGAATTTACCCTTTGGGAGTGCTGTTTCCAGTAATAAGCGTTTGTTGAGACCAGTGGGTGGTCTCTTCTGACTTAACCAGAACATCCGGTTTTATTCTTCCTGCAATGACTCCCATCTGCCCAACATACAGTAGATAGTAAAAAGATTACATAATCTGGCCTTAATATAAACTGATTGTCTATTGAGACCTGAAAACAGACTGGGATCAATGTTTTGTAGCGTAGGTCTGATTCATTTTAAGGGAATGGGTTCCTTTGGACAGTTACTGTACCTGACATTGAATCAGTTCAAAAAACAAAGTAATCACTCAAACCAGGCCTGGATTGGCACAGAGTGGGGTGGGCTAAGCCAGGGCTCAACAAAAATAAAAGATCAGAGTTTTGCTGGCCCCTTCTATATTTTTACTGGCACTGAAAGAAATATAAGGAAAAACACGTTTCCATTAAACTCTATTTATTGTATACATTTTTTTTTTTTGTGTCAGGGAAAATGTGGAGGTGTTTGGTCCTAATGAATGAACTGGGCTAAGCTAAGGGCTATCAAAGTTTCACAGCAAGACAGAGAGATTTAGTGCACGCATTGAGACGAGAGCTATCAACTCGACTTAGTTAAGGGAATAACATACTGTAATATGAAAAAACGGTGGACTATCCCTTTAAGGTGCGAATAACGTGGAGTTTAATGTATCTTATTAAATATCTTCATATTTAATTTGTAAATATGAATATACATTTTTATAGCTCTGATACAAAAAATGGCACTAAAATGGGCCATATCTTGAGCAGTTGAAATGTGCTAGAAAACGTAGCCAATTTAAGAATGTGCATTTATTGCTTGAACGGAACAAGAACATTATGTAAGTATATAAAACACATATGCATAGTTCAGTCACTTTCTCTCTTTGGCTTGCTGTTGATGCTGTTAAACTGAACGTTTACATTGAAAAAATATCGAAAAGTAGCGCAGTGGAATGGAAAAACACGTTTTTTTTATTAAGCCATGTGTTATATGGGTTTTTTTTTAGTATAACTAATGACCTATAACTAATGTGTATTGCACATAATATGACAATCTTTGATGGTTCCCATGTTTGATAACTAACAGACTGACATTGTGTATTTTTTTTATTCCTTTTTCTTTCAAGGAAGTTCAAAAATGCACAAGTTACTTATAGAGAGCTAAATGAAGGAATTAGCTGATAAAAGTGATGCAAGAACTTTTGAGTTTTCAGGCTAATCTCAGCTCTCTATTTTAAGTCATTTGGCTAAACTAGTTTCTTCATGACGAGGACCTGTTCTGGGGCCTGTAATTTCTCCTTTACTGGCTTGGCACATAGGATGGGTAATAACTGGATGGGACACTCTGTGTCAGTCAAAAGAAATTCTCTCTGTCTGGTAAAGTCAGCATTGTAAGCTACTACTTCATAGTCGTGCAATTCTAAAAATGTAATCAACACACTTGGACCAACCTATCACAATCAGGAATTTGACATTTCTGTTGCAAAAATATGCATTTATGAAACCCTTCATTCTATAGTCAGCAAAATTCTAATAATAGTAGTAACAATTATTTGTTCACGCCCAGGTTTTAAATTTTATTCACTGTAATCAACAGGAAAGACCATCAAGGGTACTGCTGATTGGGTCTGGGGTTGCTATGGTGAGAATAGTGGGTGTGTCATAGCCAGATGGAGGGAGAATTTCCCCTGCTGCTGTGTGAAGCTCCAGTGATGGTGGAGGAAGCTTTTGAACCTCAGATGATGAGCAAACTGACACACATTAAAGTCATTAAAGTGTGGAGTAGTTATATGGGCTATGGGGATATTTCATAACATTCATATTCATATTTCATTTATATTGTATTCAGAAATATTTTAAAATACTGTTCCATTTGTTAACATTAATTAAAGCATTAACTAACAGTAAACAATACATTTGCTATAGTATTTATTAATCCTTGTTAATTTTAGTTAAGAAAAATACAGTAACACTTTACAATATCAGTTTCATTTTTCATTAACTAACATGAACCAACCATGAGCAATACATTTGTGAATGTACAGTATTTTGTTAATCTGTGTTAATGTTGGTTAGTAAAAAAAAACAGCTGTTCATTGTTTGTTATATTTATTTCACAGTTCATTAATTAATGTTGCATCGTGCAACATTTCATGTTAAAAATACCCGTTTTTCGAACCCATAGATACTTAAAAAATTACCTGATGGGCCTTCTCTGATCACTGCGATTGCCTCTATAATCCTGTACAGTAAAATAAATAAGAGGGATTCGGGCTCGAATTTGAGACTGGGCATGACGTCATACGCGTTCACGCTCACCTGGCTATGTCTGGCAGGTTTATGTATTTGCCGCCATTCGACAAAAGTAGAAAAACACTTTCGACAAAAGTAGAAGATGGATTCAAAGAGACCGGCT